AAGACTTTGGCAAGGATTTTTTAACTCCGACCAACTTGGCTTGCAATATGACATAACATGCGTCATCCAGGTGTTTTAGCATAGTTTATATTGCCAATGTCACAGCAGAGACTGCAGTTTGTAGCAGAGGCGGATGTAGGATTTTTCGCCTGTTTGTCAAAATATCGGATGTAAAAATGGGGAGGTGGTTCAATTGCCGCTAAATTGAACTGTTATTAATTAATGGTTCAAATGTTATTTTAATTAAACAATTCGTGAATGCACAATGCAAAAAGAAGGTTGCTATCTAATATTTGTTAAAATGACAGTACCCCCATTGAATACGGTGAAACCTTCACCACCCAAAATATATAGGTCCAGAATGTATAGGTTCCGCTCCATTAATTGAAAGTAATTTTTTTTCGTTTCAGTTCAATTTATTTTTTTTCCATTTTATTTATAATAAGCACCATTTGTCATTTTATCATTTGCAAACACACCTGCTAGTTCTTATCAATTGCACAATGTTATTACCCAAATTATTTTAGGTATTTTATTTGATCAGTAGAATATTAAAGCCCATTTTTAAGAGTAGAAAGCTTAAGGATGAGTTAAAAGTCCGTGAAGTAAAACCACCAATTGTAAATCAACAGCGGTTGTATATAGATATAAATGTGATCTGTGCGATGCAGATTACGTTGGCTATACTGGTCGACACTTACATCAACACATTGACGAACACAAGCGGTCAGTAATCGGGAAACATTTAAGCGAATTTCATGGTAAAGATACGTCGATAATTGAGAGTTGTTTTTCAATTATTCGGAAATGCCAAGGGAAGTATGACTGCCTTCTTTTCAAGATGTTCCATATTAAGGACTATCACCATCTTTGAACACTCAATCGGACTCTATTCGTTCTAAACTTTATACTTGATCTTGAAATAATGTTTAGTTTCTGTATATATGTATGTTTTTGTGTGTGTTCATGTATGTGTGTATGTATATATAATTTAAGTAGACTAAGAATGACAAAATGTAGATCTAATTTATGTAATTAATATAATTTATCTAATCAACTGCATGATCTTAAGCATGCTTTGCAATATATACTAATGTGACATGAACCGTTTATAGTCAATGCAATTTAAATGTAATTATCATAACTTGAGAATGATGCACGTTTTAGCATCAAAACGTTGTTCAATAAAGATAATACCGCTATCATTTGTGTCAAAATTAATATACCGCAACCTGGAAATAAACTTATTACAGGCGCAGTTGTTTCCAAGTTCAAACATGATGAAATTTTCTATCGACAATATTTCTCTCGTTCCGGCAAAGTGGATAAGTTGCGATCACACTTTCAAAGCCACCTCAAATATTGTCTATTTGGGCCAAAGTGACCATAAATGGGTAAAATTATTCCATAGCTTATTCTGTGTTCTTAACGAAAAAGGAACGGTAATTCAGTGGAGCTTTACCAAAACTGAAAGCGTTATTGAATTAGAAAGCCTGTTTTAACAGCTTTCTGAACGATTTAAAAGGCAGGAGAATGTTATAGAAGGAATTTTTCTTGATAACTGCAGCAAATGGACTCAATTTTTGAGAAAATATTTTCAAAATATTCCTATAAAATTAGACATCTTTCATGCCGTCCAAAGAGTCGTTCGCAAAATATCAAAACGTTCACAGCATTCATCTGCTATGGCTAGAGAATACAGATTACTTTTCCGTCAACCTAGAGATAATGGACATCACAGAACTTTACCTTCGGGAACATCAGAGGTTATTTTAAAGAATCTGGATAAGTTTTGTCTCAAGTGGCAAAATGTAAAAAATGGCCTTGGTGGTAATGTTTTGACAAAAGAAATACTAAAAGAGATAAAAATATTTAGTACCATATTCGTAAAGGATGCTTATCTGGTATACCTACGGGATGTGGCACAAGCAGAAACGAAAGACTGTATCGAGAAATGAACAAAGTTGCAACTACAAATTGCATAGGACTACCATTGTTGTATACAAAGATGTTTAGAATGTTAAACAAACAAGCTGAAAATAGAGAAAAGGACTTACTCCCACTAAATGAAATAAAGATGCAGGTGTTGCAAGATGAATTGGCAGATATGATAGAAAACGAGTTAGAACATTTTGGAGTTGAACAATGTCCTAAATACTTTGAAGAAAGCAATGACCTTGAGAAATTGCGAAAAGTAAAGAAGTCCATGAGATTTTGAATGGAATAACTGCAATGCAGAATAGTATTGAAGAAAATTGGCCTCAACTAGAACATGACTAGATTGAAAAAACAGATAAGGAACTTTGGGATTTACTAAATTACCTAAAGCAACGGTTATCTTTTTGGAGTTCATCCGAGGCAATCAGAAAAATAGTCACAGGAAAAGTACATATAAAAAACCCACTATGTCGGCAGAAAAGCAGTATAGGTCTACATCCATATCCTTAAAAGATAGTACCGAAGAAATTGTCGAAGAAGAAATTGATACAATTGCAATGCAGTGGGGCTTGAATGTTGTATGAGTTATGGGTGATGGTGACTGTTTTTTTTCCTCCGTTGCTTGTCAGCTTTTGCAGCAGCCTAATTTACATTCCCAGGTGAGAGCACATTTAATGGATTTGGGTATAAATCCTGAACGTTGATTAACGGAAAATACTCAAATTTTAAGGCGTCGTGTAGTTTCAGAGTGGACTGGCCCGTTTATGGATGAATACCGGCAATTTGTCGATGAAGATGTGAACTTTGTACTGCAAGCGAATAGTTTTTTAACATATGGCGTCTTCGCAGCTAATGTTGGGGATATGATGCCGCTCGGGATGGCAAACGTCCTGCAAATACCTTTGCTTATTCTGTCTGATCTTGTCCCTTTCACAACCATGCAGGACCAGGTCACTATGATGCACTTGTTCAAAGATCAGAATCATGCAAAAGCATATGCCTGCAGACTGAATTCAAAGAAAGTCTTTCAAGTGAAACATCCGTTAGAAAACAAAGCAAAGGGTGCCGTTGCATAATAAATAGAAGAAGAGGAAAAAAGCTACATCTGGATACAAAAGTCGGTGCAAACGCATCCAACTTTACGGATATTGTTCGGACAAATGTAAGTGTAAAGGTCAGTGTGAAAATAGCGTTTGCAGGAAAATAAGCAAACATACGAAAAGTAAGCGTAGGGCGAGAAAGGGCAAGAAACAAACATTGGAGACATCGCCATTAAAGACGTCGCATATTTTCTATGAACGGAGAAAAAACGTTCCGATCGCGAATCTTTCAATCACCTGGAATTTTTGTTAATTATGGTACTTTGTGCGGCAAGCAAAAACAGTGATCAAAATACCAACGAAGAAGAAATTTGGAAAATTTATAACAACTTAATTGAACTAATTTTTCAGAGTTTTTATCAGTTCTTACGATCTTCAAAAAAACCTTAGAAAAAGTACTGAAATGTCGAAAAGTAGCATCTAAACCGTAATGCTAGCCTTTTTAGAGAGAGTGGAACTCTCTCTGTTTTTCATCAGCCGAATTCATATTAGTGATGGGAAACTCATCTAAGACCGAAAACATGTTTTATGTGAACTGGTCACAAAGGGTTTTTCGTCCTAATTCTCCAGTCAAACTTAATTCCCGTAAGTACTTAAGGACGGAACAAGGCTGATAGAAAATAAAAAAAATTATTACCATATAGCTACTTTTTAGCATTACGCCATCTATCATACGTATATATATTCAGATGAGTTTCCCGTGCATAATATGAATTTGGCTAGCTATCCACAGAACTTGCCACGCACATGCAGCATTCTTGCAGATTAGTCATATAAAGTCAATTCCCGGTAAATAATATACTGAAACTTCCAATTGGCTGAACTTGAGTAATTGTTTTGCAACTAGCAATCACAGTAAACAAATCGCTGCCAATTATAACTGGCCTACTAATAGTTACTTTTTACTTTTAGTGTATTTTATACAATTGTATACAGTTGTATATATATCGTTGTTATGTTAAAAAATCATTATTCTTTTCTACCCCTTGTTCTGTGAACTGTTTGAAACAACCATATTTCCCAACAAAAAATGGAATGTGGTATAACATTACGTGCATATATGGAATCACCCTTTTTCTCTCATATCCAGGACAAATGTTTCTCAATGAGCAGAATAATTCAATCCATTCATTTCCTTTCTGAAATATATCACCAGCAGCTTACCTGGTTAAACTACAATCTGATATCATGTTATAATAATCTTCAAAAGATGACCATATTTTGCAAACTGTTGCACATGTATCTGGATAGAGGTATTCATGAAGTTTGCCTGGCAACTGATTGAGCAATTTCTTTTTCTGGCTACTAGACTACAAATTGATTCCTGCAGTTTGGAGTACTGAGGTGATTTTTGATGCAGAATATCCAGTAGTTGCTCAAATATAGGAATGTCCTTCCAAAGACCCAACTGGAAAGGGTACTTCAAGTTTGGATTTCCCAAATTAAAGATAACCATACCAAATGCCCATATATCTACTTTCTTCATGTTTTCAAAGTTTGCCGTTTTCCTGAGACCCTTTCCCCCCAACTGACGTATTTTCGAAACTATTTAATCATATCAAAGAAGGTTGTAGAACTTATAAACAAATTTTTCAAGCCCTATTCAAATCCATGAAAATCCCACAAGTGATATAGTATGTAAAATGGTATGTATTGTACTTTTTATCAAAATTTGTGCATTCTGATTGGGTTACAGAAAATGTAAACTAACTTGCTGATTGGTCTAAAACAAAATCCCCTTTTGTTCTTGCTAGCCTGTGCACAGACGGAAATGGCCTCACGTAAATTCCGTCTGTGAACAATCGCGCAATAGCTTGCACGGCTACGTCAGCTTTGTCAGGATTTTGATAACGATTTCTCATTGGCCATCAGCTATTCGCATAGTAGGGCGTTTTTCATTGGCCCGTGTGTTGATAATTATACACATAATATGCATAATTATAAAGGCATCGAATATACAACATGGGAGCTCGAAGCGACGGTGATGTTGAAAGTTCTCGTTGGAATCGCGTGGTTCAGAAAGTGCTAGATGTATTTAAAATACCATCATTATACGAAGAACAAAGTGAAGCTTTACGGCAGTTCTTTTCGAAGCGAGATGTCTTCGTTAGTCTGCCAACTTGCTATGGAAAGTCGCTTATCTACCAGGCGGTACCTTTTATGGCCGACGTCATTTATCGTCGAAGTTCTGGAAGCAGTATTATCGTGGTGATCTCTCCACTAAAAGCCCTTATGGACGATCAGGTCCGCTATTTGCAGAAACTAGGCGTAACGGCAGTTTGTGTCACCGATGAACACGATGACAAACTTGTTGGAGAGATCATCAACGGACATTACACGCATATTTATGGTTCGCCTGAATGCCTACTCACTTCGACATGGAGAGGAATATTATCAAGCAGACATATCAAATCATCATTGGTGTGCGTTGCTGTAGACGAAGCACATTGCATCAGTCAATGGTAGGTTGAAAAGAATGTATTTCTCACTAAACCACTAACAATAATAATATGTTCATACATGTCATTTAAAATCTGAATTTCTCTCTTTAGGGGCACACCTGGTGCTAAAAAAGGGGAACTGCCTTTCCGTAAGTGGTATGGAAATTTGGGAGAGTTACGGTCACTTGTTCCTGATGAAGTGAATATGATAGTTGCTACAGCATCAGCTACAAAGGAAACCAAGGCTGTAATTTATGAAAGTCTGCAGTTGACTAAGAATACTGCAGTTGTGTCCAAGTCTCCTGACCGATCGAATTTGTACTACTCTTTTGGGACACTCTATTGGAGTTACTATTCAGTGATGTCATTGAAAATGTGCGCATTATGGGTACGTCTGCTGCTAGAACAATCATTTACTGTCAAATGCGGAAGCAAAGTGCAGTGTTGTATCGTGTGTTTGAGACAAGTCTTGGGCACAAATTTTATATGGGTGGTGTGCCTAATTGTAAAGCATGCTTGGTGGAAATGTACCATGCCGGGACTCCCAAAGCAGTAAAACGCTATATTTCCAAAAGCATGTCAGAAAACGAAGGCTGCATAAGGGTGTTAATTTCAACTGTTGCTTTTGGCATGGGTGTCGATTGTAAGCAGGTAAACAGGATAATACATTTTGGACCATCCAAAAACATAGAGTGTTATGTACAGGAGAGTGGTCATGCAGGAAGATATGGATCTCCCTCAGAGTGCATATTACTGTACAACGGTCTGCTGTCCTCACATTCTTCCCGTGACATTAAAGAAATTCTTTACGATGAAACTGGCTGCAGAAGAGAATCACTTTCGAAACCGTTTGGATTCGTCCCCATAACAGTGAACAATAGACATACTTGTTGTGACAGTTGTGCTAAGAAATGTAATTGTGGTGAAGCACAGTGCCTGCCAGGTTCAGGTCTTACAATTCTTAGCACAACAAATGAGGAGTCTAAACAAACAAGACCTGTCAGTGTTCAACAAAGAAAAGAATTAAAAGAAAAACTAATTGCATTCAAAAAAGACCTGAGTAAAGAAAGTTCAGAACAAATGCACAATACGGTCACCCTACCAACAGTCCTATTGGAATTTGGAACTCTCCAGATTTTAAGCATCCTAAGACATTGCTACAAAATATTCTTTGTTTCTGATGTAATTCAGTACGGTGAAGTATGGCGTGAGCAACATGCATGCAGAATTTTGTCCTTAATTAATGATGTATTTGGTGATATCACCAACATCTCAGTTTTAGATAATGACGATGAATCTGAGATCATTGCAGATATGGACTGGTAAGAAATTTGTGATGATGATTCATTATTACCAATGCTGGACTCACATGATGAAGCAATGTTGACAGATGACACTCAGGAATCACACGATGCTTCATTAAATACCAGTAGTTTTTTTTTGGGATTAACTAGTGGGGACACATAATGTAGAATGAAAATGAGTTTTTCAGATTTATGCTTCATTAGCAATATATTATGTTCGATTTCATGACATGGCCACAACAAAGTAGCATGTGCTATGTCCAACTTTACACAGGCTACAAAAAAGAGTACTGAACTATGTTTGTGCAAGCATTTTTTGCGGTTGTATGTATAGTGAAATAGGGTGAATATTAATGGACCAATTCCCTAATAACAAATTTATTGAACTAGGTAAAGAGAAGGGAATAAGTCTCAACAGCTAGAAAGAACTTACTATAGAATTAGGAAAAAATCAGGAAATTGAATAGTACATATATAATAACTGATAATTACACATGTTTTAAGTTGCAGCCATGTCACGAGATCATGATTAGCATACTCATTGAGCTCTTCGTCTGAGTAGAATATTTTTTTGTGTTCATTTATCCAGGAATACATATCTTGCAGTTTAAATCCTGCTAATAAACTGGGTTTGAATCCACCATAGCACATATATGATCGTCCTGGTACTCTGACTAATGTGTAGCAATTCCTTATTGTACTTATGCACCGTACCTTCAGATATGGCATCCTTTAAATTTTCTATAAGCATGCCATATTCCAATAAGGCTTTTTGGTAGTTGAGCATATCATCTCCTTCAGAAGGCGGACTTTCAAAATAGACATCGGATCTGATTTGCTCTTGAGGGATTACCACTGGTGGTGTATGCTTTAGCTCATGATTTCGACGGCACTTCCCATCTTGGGCAAACATGCTCTTGTATCCGGGATAGCGACACATATCTACCATCAGCAGTGACATCTACAATAATAATAATAATAACTTAATGCCACCTTCAGAACCCCATGAAAGGAAACGTTTTCCACCTTCATGGGTTAATTGATCTCGGCCTTGGTCTTAATGAGGGATAGGGAGATAAGTATGTATTGCAAGTATGTTTTCCCTCCCACAACATCAGAACTTCAGCTCTTTCAACCAAATCATCATTTACCCCAGCTCCATCCCAAACAATCTTCACCAAATAAAACCTAATCTGCATGTTTCGGAGGAAATTATTTCTACTGTATTACAATTATATAGTAATATAGTAAAAATATTAATGCAGTCTGAGTGGCGATGTATGTCATTTTCAGGGGTGGTGTTATTTTCCTCATTCCACTAGAAAAACAACAAATATATACCTGTTCTTGGGAAATTCTCTTTCATGTTCAAATTCTCACAAGCTATGACAAATGCATCATATCTATCCTTATCCAGGACATAGTTGTCCACAATGGCGGTTGCAAGTTTCCTCAACCACTGTCTCTTTTTTTCTTTTGACCATGATGAAGTGTCGGGCAAATGACAAGGATCTGGAGTATCATCGACTTCTTCAATTTGCAGTTCTAATATCCCAGCGGCGACCAGCCTTGCCTCTACTTCCATTTTGAAGAATCTCCGACAGGCATTCACATTAGAGCTTACATCAGCCTTTACATTTCTTCGATTGATCAAGTTTCGATCACTGTAAAGAGTACACTTGTCACTGGATGAAGCAGAGCTGTACATATGGGAGAATGCAATCTGTAATAAAAAATGTAAAAGTATTAACCCATTGGTAGAAATCCTATGCACGATCCTAATGGAGAACCTTAAGAACTTTGAAACCACAGCAGATAGTAGAAAAATCCTACATCAGACTTATTAGGACACCAAAACATAGACAGCCAGGATTATGAAGAAATCCTTAAATGGAAAATCTTATCTAGGATAATGTGCTACTGTTTATCATTCCCAGTTTTGGTTTGTTACCACGACTCTGTACATACATATAGGTATCACTTACTTCTAAAGCTTTATTAACTCCATGCCAATCTGCAAACTCGAAGTGCAGACCCTCCAGCCTCTCTTTTGGGTTAAAACCATTACTGAGCGTATTGTGTGTGTTTACAGCTCTTTCCACGGTTAGCTGGTCTCCCACAATTGCTTGATCACTGTATTCACGATTGGGTCCACTACCACTAAAGGGGACATATGACTTGTGTAGCTTCTTCAAAATGGAGGTCATCCCCTCTGCCTCATTCTCATTGTGGTAGAGAAGTCCAAGAAATGTCTGTAAACAATGAAATTCTACTGCTATAAAGTTCAAGATTTAATGGTACAATTATAACTAATACAGGCAACAAAATAGCAATTTCCAGTCTTAAATCTGTCTGACCGTGTAGCTCAGTTGGCAAAGCATCGATCTAGAAAGTCGAAGGTCGCTGGTTCAATACTCAGCCACGGCAGACAATATCTTTCTGCTTGCGCTGGGTATGGAAATTATGAAATACGCACTCGAGAACATTCTAAAATTATCATATTACGAAGTTGTTGATAATTTGAGAATGCTCTTGAGTGTATTTATATATACCACTCGATAATTTCCACTAAAATTATGGTCACCTACATATATATATATAAATATATATATTCTATACCCTTACCGAATCAGTTGGTTCCCTTGCTATACACATGGGGGATGTGGCTTACAACAACATCTTCAAATGATTGAAGACAGGGAATGTTCTGTACCAAGGCTCTTTCAGTGAGTACAATGTAGTTATTTCTCTGGGAGCACTGTTCCATGTGACTTGGAATAAATCTTCCATTCTCTATACTGTTCAATTTGCCATGTGGTGCTTGTGAACTCAACTCATTGCCGCTAATACGATTTGCTGTCGCACACACAGTTAAATAATGATTATCTCCTGTTTGGTGATCTTGGGTCATGTAATGTACTTTCTGGCTGTAATCTAGATTCTCAATTGTAATTTTTTGACCACTGGGTCGGCTGTGCACTGAGCGATTGAATCCGACAGTTATGGAATCCTCGTCATCGGAACTATGACTGGAATCATTGTCACTGAAGTCATCCTTGTCACTTTTGTCAGTAAATTCATAACCAGTTGTGGTACCATTGACATTTGTGACTTCCCTTTCAGAACTATTAGGAACTTTATCAGGAGCTGGTACTGCTGGTTGTTTTGCATTCATCCAAGCAGATTCTTGCTGCATCATAGACTTAACTGGCTTGTCATGGTCCTGCCCAAATTCATCCAGCTTCCTGTAAAGTTGTGTATGGGACACAACAAGGCGTAGGACCTTCAATCTGCGCATGGTTGGCTATTTAAAACAAAATGGATATAATATAGTTATCAATTTAAATGTTCACTTCATTTTATTGGCATACTTGCACCAGATCTGATTATGATTGGACAATTAAAAAAAATTTTCAACATACACAAAAAATGTTTTAGTCATGTTAACTTGTACCTGAAACTTTTTAGTGTATGTCAGGTTTTTAGAGTAAAATGGGAACGGAAATATATAAAAATACATACCGTCCAGCTTGAATGATAGAAAAAAATACTCAGGAGTAGTTGGACAGCATTCAGGCTTGCTGATCTGTTGCGTAATAATATGGCAGCAGCCATGCACACAGTTGGGACCCACTCAGATCTATTGGTCGAGTTTCTTTTGTTTACACACGCTGCACGCAGGACTGAGTAAGCAAATGGAGCTCTGTTCTCAAGTTCCTCGACTAACTTTTCAAAGGAAAAGTCCAGCAGTTTCCCCTTATTTGGAGATCGCAGGCAGCTTGGTTGTTTCCTGGAACATAGACCATTCAACTCTTTGTCGATTGACTTTAGTGCCAGAACATGAAATTGCTTGCGAAGTGCTGCATTATTCCAAGCAGCACAAGCAATTTGTTTGTACGTGCCACACACAAGCATTTTGCCAAGGGACTGCAAATCGCTTGGGAGCTGTCGTTCTCTTGTTCCACTGGGCCATTGCAATTTGGCAGTAACAACAGTACATGAGGCCATGGTGGTTGGTGTTGCTCTTGTTGGTGGAACTTTGATCGGTGTAGAATGTACAGGAGTCGAATTCGATAAACTCCTGCCTTGCACATGAATATCACCTTGCAATAATGGCGAATAGTCACTATTTCCTGCCACTGGACTGGGCACTGGTGAGACATTTGTCACAAATAGTCGATGTTCCGCGCTTTGTCGTTTCCCATCAGATAACTCCCAAGTTTGTTGAATAATCGTTTCATCTGAATCTCCCCGATCTGGCTTAGCGAGTTCCTCTAGACTCACGATAAGTTCACCTTCATGCCGTCGTAGGTTTTCGAGCTTCTTCAGCTTATTCAAGCAACATTTACATATGTAAATTGAGTTAAATTCTACCGTGAAAGGCAGTTTTGAAAGAGCCGTGCGAACATCAAAATTTGCCTTTCCATCAACCAAAAAACGTTCGTATGCCTTTTGTATTATCTTGTGACAAAGAACGCAAGTCATAGAGATAAAGATTAGACACATTTGAGGCCCACGCTTGTAAACGACGCCATGTTGTTCTAGAACTCCGCCGATAATGTAAATAATTATGTAAAAATTATGTAAATAATTATGCAAATAATTTAGAAATTAGCGATCACGTGGGACAGGCTTGTGTGCAAGCTATTGCGCGATTATTCACAGACGGAAATTACTTTGCGTTCCGTCTGTGCACAGGCTAGTTCTTGCCAATTACAACAGTTTTTTTTCCATATAACTTTATGCAATACAGTAACATTCTGTAACTATAAATTAAATAATACTGTAACAATTTAAAAGGGAAATGGCGATAGTTTGTCCAAAATGTTTTATCAAATTTATACACAGTTTTTTTGCATGGCTGGTTTTATTTGACTGTGTTGTAAACCTAGCATTACAATGTGTATGACATGCAAATTCCTTCACTTAAATGTGCACTTTTGGCATATCAGATCATATTTGGTTCCAAATACTTTGTTGCATGTTTTGCATTTGGTGTATATTCATGTGTTTCAGCAAAGC